CTGAACCTAAAGCATCAGAATTCGTTCACCTTCGCACTGCTGACCTGTGCTGGGGGAAGTCCTGACTCCACTGAGACCCCTGCAAGGCAAGGCTAGCGTGATGTAGCACATTTCACTGAGCCTGGATTTCTCCCCAGACGTTTATTTTCCTGACAGCATTTTCCACTGGCCCTGTTCCCCTGTTTCTGAACATATTTTCTCCTCTCAGTTACAACCTAGAGCTCCGTATGTAGCAATCTTTTCCTAGCCCTTAGCAGAAGTACAAAGCTGAGGGTGTCTGTCTACCGAAAAACAGGTCGGTAATTTTCCATTAGTTTCTCTTCATGTAATGGCCCCTCAAGAAAACCTTCCAAATTCCAATTCCACTGAGTACCCATCCTAACCATGAAGACAGTTACATTTCATGCATATAAATTATATATCCAGCATAATTATAATAAACGGGCATGTTGTATATCTGATATAATGCTAATTAGATACTGTATATTTGTAAAATCTTTAAAATGTAGACTCGTAGGTCCAGAACTTGTGAGTGTTTTATCTTTGGCTTTCTAGCCAGATTGGGCTTTGCTTTGTTTTTTGTTGGGTTTGGTTTTGTTTGGTTTTGGTTTTCCTTACATTTGTGTTTCTATCAAATTCTGTAGAACTAATTCGCACCAAAACATACTTCTGTGGCCAGGAAAGGGTCTCAGAGGTTTTGAAGGCCAGCCAGACCCAGTGCTGTAACTGTTAGTGCTGGACACTCTCCAGCACTCACCATCCATGGTGTGCGCTCAAAGCCCCACCACATGCACACACCCATGCTGCCAATCCGAACGGCAGACATGCTCCTTCCTCCGGGTGAAATGACGACTGACTTCAGGCTGTAAGCACATTCCCATACAGTACTTCTCTCTTCATGTCCTACATTCCTGCAGTGAGTCTTTTCCTACATAGCTCTTCACTAAACTTTATTTAAATTAGCTCTGCCTTTCTTCCTCCCCTCAAATACCTCCCACCTCCTGGCCTTAATGACGTTTCCAGCTCAATATGTTGGTCCTGTAGCACACAATGATTGTAGGTTGTTGTGAGCCTGAGTCTTGTGTGGAGGCTTATGGTGCAGCACCAGGTTTTTCTGCTGCAGGTTAGGCAGGAGGAGCATGCCGTCTTCCCCCAGTGGGATTTAGAAGTAGGCCTCAGTAGCGTGGCCATGTGGCCTTTCTCTTTCCCAGACTGTCCTGGGGCTGCTGGTCCTAGTTCATGAGCTTTCTCCTGCCCTGCCTGATGGAGAGTGTGTTCAGAAAGGAGTCCATCTGTGAGAAGTACTGGGGCTTTGTTTGACGGAAACTGAACTGGGAAGGAATGAAAAAGAGTCTCCATGGTTCAGATGGTGATTACCATGCAGCCTTGGGCAAAATAATTCTGGGCAACGACCAGAATTGTCTATGGAGCAGGGTGGCAGTTCATGGCATGGGAGGGATGAGAGAGAAAAGGCTCACACCTCATCTCCTGACCCCTTCCCTTGATGGACACTTCTCTCCCCTGACTACCTCCAAGTTCCTCAGCTCAATCACTGGACATTTTCTCACAGAAGGCAACCTCTGTGAAAATATTGCCCTTGCTGACCTTCCCACGTGTGGTGGTTTAACCCCAGTTGGCAACTAAGCACCACACAGCCGCTTGCTCATCCTCCCCACCACTGCAGTGGGATGGGGGAGAGAATCGGAAAAGAAAAGTAAAACCCATGGGTTGAGATAGGCAGTTTAATAGGACAGCAAAAGAAGAAAAGACAATAATAATAATAACAATGATGATAAAAGAAATACAAAACAAGTGATGCACAATGCAATTGCTCACCACTCTCTGACTGATGCCCAGCCAGTCCCTGAGCAGCAATTGCTGCCCCCCAGCCAACTCCCCTCAGCTTATATACTGAGCATGATGTCATACGGTATGGAATATCCCTTTGGCCAGTTTGGGTCAGCTGTCCTGGCTGTGCCCCCTCCCAGCTTCTTCTGCACCTACTCAAGCATGGGAAGCTGAAAAGTCCTTGGCTAGTGTAAGCACTACTTAACAACAACTAAAACATCGGTGTGTTATCAACATTATTCTCATACTAAACCCAAAACACAGCACTGTACCAGCTACTAGGAAGAAAATTAACTCTATCCCAGCTGAAACCAGGACACCACACACTGAAGCTTGTGACTTTTGTGAAGAGAAAAGAAACGCACATGGCTGATGGGGAGGCAGTCCCTGCTGAGGTTCTGGGGCTCTTCCATTCTCTCTTGGCCCAAGCAAAGCTAGGATCTTCCCCTCTGCAAGCAGGCAGATGTGAACACTGTGGGAGAGGAGAGTCCACCCCAGAGTCTCCAGGAGTTGAGGTGGCAGAGCCGGAGGAGCAGAGGTGACTATATGAGGCCGCGGGTAGGTGAACACTCCTCTTTTTCCATTTCCATAGCTATGTCTCAAGCTCTAGTCTTCATCTAAATGTTCCATTCGTGAACTAAGAAGCTGCTGGACCAGATGCAAATATGGAAATTTTTCACTCAAGTAGCCCATGCAGATGCTGTGCTGTGCTCCAGACCATTTGACCTCAGAGCATTCTCTTATTCTGACTGACAAATATCACAGGCCCTCTGCTAACTTGTCCTACCTGGGCAATAATCCTCCAAGAAATCTTAGCCCCATTTCCTCGTCTTTTCCATGCACTCAATGGTTTCAAGCAGATGTGTCCCACAAGAACCATCAAAAAGCCTTTCTAGGCCAAATCTCTTCAGGGACTTTGACACCACCACAGAAAATTTTCAGTAAATTTCTTTGGGAAGGCACCATGCCCTGGATGACCAAAATTTTTTCCTGGGCACCATGTGTTCCCATGTCTTGCTTTATGTGCTGGAATGGGCTGGTAGCTAGAGCGGTGGCATTTCAGCACGCACAGGTGTTCTTGCATCATTTTTTTCCTCATTCCTCGTTCTGAGTGTTTGTCACTGAAAGGACACTTGGTCCAGGACTGGTTGTCATGTTCCACAGCCTGGTCCCCAGCACTTCGGTTCCCCGTGGTCGACATGTGATGATAATGGTAACACTTTCCTGTTCCACAGAGGCATTATGAGGGTTCATACCATAACGTCTATGAAGTGCTTTGAGACCCTCTCACAACAGACACTGTAGAACAGCAAAACATTTTTACTAATATTGTTTGTCACCATTGTCATGCCACATCATGTCTGATGTGTTGCAATCCAGTGTCTGTCCAGAATGAGAGTGCTGGAGTGGGGGGATGCAGTTCCCCAGATTTCCCATTGCTCTCCTTCTGGTCAGGGTCCCTAGCAGGAGCAGCTCTAAGGGGTGCTTACCTGCACTTTGACGATTCTGCTTTCTTCTTCTCATGTCTGAGTCACCATAACATTCTGCACTCAGGAGAAAAGCAGGAAGCAGTCACATTCCTCTGCGCAGTAAAATATAATCTGCCTTGATTAATCTAATACACTCTGAAGAACTGATCTGTCTTTTTCTCCAACCCACAGGTGGAAACACACATCTGTGGAGCATCCAGTTCCCAGAGTGCATGTGCAGGGTCTGAGGGAGGGTGATGTAGAAAAGTTTATATTATTTCCTACAAACTGATAATTATTTGCATTCCCCAAGCAGTAACATATAACAGTGAGCTGCACTGGATTTTATACAACTCTCTCATTAATACAGATACATGTATGTATATGTATATACACACAAACACATATATATACATACATACTGTAAAATGCAACCATTAAGTTCTGACTGACCCTGTACTAATCTAAGCTTCCAAACTATATTGAATCACTCTTTGAAATGTGGAAAACTATTTTTAAGGAACCACAGAGATCACCACATGGAACGGGAATTTTGTCATAAAAGTCTTCTAATGCCAGTGAATTGTGTTTTAAGGAAAAACAAAATATTTTTCAATGTTTTAATGTTCCTTTTATAAATGATCTGTTACGTGGGGATGGGGATGGGTGGGTGGGAAGAAACAGGGACAGTTACCCAGGAATAAGCCCTCCTTTCCTGGCCTAGATTTTATTTCTGTCTACTGTTCTGCTAGCCTGGCTGGCTGCAAAGCTGGTCCGATGAACCTGGGCTTCCCGCATGCATATTTCTGTTCTTGTGTCTATCAGAAACATT